GAGACATTGAAGAATCATGAACGAAATATCTGACCATGACTTAGAATTAGCTACAATTATTCATACCATTAAGATTTGACATCATTATCTGTATGGAGAGATGTTTGAGATCTATACTGATCACAAAAGTCTTAAATATCTCTTCACGCAGAGGGAACTGAATATACGCCAGCGTAGATGGATGGATCTTCTTAAGGACTATGGTGTAAGATATCCTGTCATCCACAAAAAAAAATGGTGACTGATACACTAAATCGCAGTACCTCCAGCATGATTGCAAAACTAGTAGCTTTTGGATGCAAAACTCTAGAGACCTTACAAGAATTACAATGATATATTCACAAATGGGGAATGTATATAGCCAGCTTGAGAATCGAGCCAGTATTAATTCAGAAAATTAAAGATGCTCAAGAAACTGACACTACTATAGGAACCTTGAAGAAAGAAACTGAACAAGGTTTAAGGTCTAACTTCAGAGTTCACGATGATGGTTTACTTTGATTCAGATGAAGATTATGCGTTTTGAATGACCCTAACTTGAAGATTAGTGGAAGTATATAATTTTAGGTTTAGTATACACCCAGACATCACCAAAATGTATCGAAGTTTACGACCTCAATATTTGTGAATTCAGATGAAGAAAGATATCTTCGAATTTGTTGGTAAATGTCTCACATATCAGCGGATTAGAGCCAAACACCAAAAGTTAGGGGGATTACTTCGACCTCTACCAATTCGAGAGTGGAAGTGGAAACACATCACTATGGACTTTGTGATGGGTTTGCCTATGACTTGATTGAACCATGATACTATTTGGGTGATAGTGGATCAATTAACGAAGTTAGCCCATTTCCTACCAATAAAAGCTACAGATCCTCCAGATAAACTTGTAAGATTATATATTAAGGAAGTTATTAGACTTCATAAAATTCGGTATCAGTAGTTTCAGATTGAGATGTTCGTTTTACTTCTAGGTTTTAGACAAGTTTTCAACAGGCCTTAGGCACCACTTTATAATTCAGCACAACATTTCACCCACAAACGAATATCCAAATGGAGAGAACCATCTAGACATTAGAAGATATGCTTAAGGCTTGTGCACTAGATATGGGTGGAAATTGGGACGACCATCTACCATTGATTGAATTCGCCTATAACAATAGCTATCAGTCCAGTATTAGTGCAGCTACATATGAAGCACTTTATGGTAGATCCTATCGATCTCCTATGTGTTGGGAAGAAATTGAGAGCAGAAAATTAATTAGACCCAAATTAATTGAAGAAACTACCTCCAAGATTGTCCTAATTAAGAAAAATCTTTAAACTGCCTAAAGTAGACAGAAAAGTTATGCAGATAATCGTAGAAGGAGTTTGAAAATTGAAACAGAGGATCATGTGTTCTTAAAAGTGTCACCAATGAAGGGCCTTATGAGATTTGGGAAGAAAGACAAATTGAGCACTCGCTTCATTAGACCATGCGAAATACTGGAGAGAATTGGATCTACTGCTTACCGATTGACATTACCATCAGAGTTGGCTAACGTTCATAATGTATTTTATGTGTGCATGTTACATAAATACTAGCCTGATCTATCACATATAATTCAGTATGAGTAGATTTCTATTGAAAAAATATGTCCTATCAGGAATACCCATAAAAATATTGAACAAATAAGAACGG